CAGTCGCGGGGCAGGTGTGGTTGGGAGTGTTCCTGAGACGCGCAGCCTGGGCTGGGGCGAGACGGAACACTTGCTTAGCCAGACCTGGGGACATCAGGCTGCCCCGCCGACACCCCGCACCTGCTCATCCCCTCCGAGGGTACCCCTCCCCCCTGCACCTCTCCAACCGCTCCACTGGGGCGGCAGGGTCACGCTGGTCCCCACCTCCAGGGTCCCCACCCCCAGGGTCCCCAGCCACTGCTTCCAGTTCTTGGAGCGGTCCTGTGGGAGATTCTGGGGCGGGGAGCAGCCACGGGAAGGTGGCGGCAAAGGTGGACTACTGCTGCTGAGAAGAGGGCTCTGCGGGGCACTAGGTGGTCCACCTCGCGGAAGAAATTGGTCGGATGTTTTGCTTTTCACATTTTGAAGAACCATCTGAGGCACACTATATCGGCTCAGTTGCTAAATCTATGTTTACTAGCCCAGTCTTAATGTTTTTATGTTTCCAGTAATGTTTTAGCATTACTGAATAGCCTGAATATTTCTCCCACACTGTTTTGTTCTCTTTTGCTATTCAATATTTGTTTCCAGTCTTGCTAAAAAATTACTTAGTTTCTGTCGATCTTAAAACCCATACTTTAAATTTTTTATATTTTTCCTGATCCTGAAATGAACCAGAATCTATTCATAAAGCCGCAGAAACAAAGAATATAGATACTTAGAATCCCCTAGGTTACAGCTGGAACACATAACCATTTGCCTCTTGTGTGGAGGTAGATTGTACTTTAACCTACTATCTTGATTATATTCCTTTAAAAATAATATTTTAATCTTTAAATTACTACTATTATCCTTTCTTCTGTAAACCAGAGAAAGAACAATTTCATTTCTTAATTTTAAGCCCAGGCGTTGTAGAAATCTGGACAAAATGCTGCAGTTTCTTTTCTTGCCAAGGCAGAACACAGAATTTCATCTTTTGTTTACAGAGCAAGTTGCAGGTTATCATTTGCTTATTCTTTCAGAGAATACAGCAAAATATATGATTAACATGCTCCTCTTGAAAAGGCTTTGCTTGGTTATATTTGTTTTCTGGCTTTGACAAGAAAGATGTTTTAAAAGAGTAAAAACTGTTTGGGCATATTGCAACCACCACAGACTTCTTGGGATAACCTCAGACAAGATGTCAGCATCTGCGGAACTGTGCTTACTGATGTTCTTTCTGGAATGCCACAGGCAGGGTGAGCCTGCTGTTTTAATTTAAAGAGAAGCTGCAGCAGCAAGCCAGAGAAGGATACTGCCTTCTCTCTGCAAAACAGACAAGAAATTCTTCACAAATTAACCCCCAGAAGAATATCCTCATACTTACAGGGGGGAAAGTAACGAATACAAAGATTGTTTTAAAAATATTCAATAATCCAGTAGGTTATGAGTCCAACTAGCCAAAGTCATTGTTAAAACTGCTTTGTTCCTAAATGAGTTATTTGTGTTTAATATTGAGGATCCACTAGTTTCTAGTGGTCTTCCATTTCAAGCAGTTTTGGTGAAGTTGCTACAATCTGTTTCTCAAATAATAATTTTTCTCATATCATTTAACCTTATTTCACCCAAATAAAATCTGTTGAAACTTTTGCATGAGGTTACGTGCTTAAAAACTGCATCTCAGAATTATTTTAATTATAACAGTGAAATTTCTTTTTCTGATCTTCATATTATACATATGAGTTCTCTTTGGGTAATTCTTTAATGTATCAAAGCATACCCTAGCTTTCAAGTCTAGTGGATTGGTAATGAGGTCATGCTTTACAGAGTTTTATGGCTTGTTTGACACACTGAAACATAAGAAGGTCAAGTGACTTGCCCAAGATCTTACCGTGAGTCAGTGATGGGGTGTAAAGAGAGCTTCAGCCCTTGCTCAGGGGCTCTAATATTAGATTGTATATGAGTGAAATCAGTATCTGAAAGTTTTTAAAGGCGTAATGCTAAGGATTTGTCT